GTTGTTATTGTAGTCAGCCGTTACTGACGAGGAAGCGACTGCCCCACCTGCCTCTATGGCGTTGTATTTGTAAATATTTTCCGCCCATTTTATTCAGTTTGCATTGGCCTGCCCAACTTTACGATCGCTTGTGTATGTAGTGTATCCGATTGTGTTTCTTACATCAAATGTTCATCAAATGTAGCCGGATACTATCGGCTCCTCTACCCGTTAGCATATTGTTATTATTAAGTCGATCGACGTCTGGGCTTATTATAGTTGGACATCATAACCATGACCAGCTCTCACTCATATTGACCGAATCAATGAGATATCTCTATTGTTAAAACGAAGCTATATCAACATATAGATTGTCACCGCAGCCAATACCCATTGGGGGAAGTGTGCGTACAAAACCGCTTCACTTCCATAAGTAAAATCTGATTTGCCTAGAAAAGGCTTACAGACGCAATTCCTTGATACATCATCATCTCCTGACGGTCACGCTAAGCGGATAGCAGGCAAAAGCCTTCTCCACTTCCACCGTACGAATACATTAAATGAATTGTTATTAATCGATCGTCATTAACGGTAACTGACTCATAATTGCGATAAGCTAATTTTTTTGATCGTAAACAAACCACTAAAATTTCGAAATTCCGCACAAAGGAAAAGTCAACCTAAGCTTGAAAAAATTATAAAAAATGAAAAAGAATTGACTTATTTAGTTCCCTGAATGCTGCCGATTATTGCCAGGAAATGCGATAAAACATGGCTGAGTAATAGCGAAGTGAGACAGCTCTTAACAAAAATATAGAACACGCTCCTACTCCGGATATTAGATACAAAAAATGATATATATTTGCCTGTTAAGCGTTTTTGCGTAGCGGCATAGTATGGAAAGCAAACGAAATCTATCTAAGCATTAAGAGCTCCATAGGGCAGCTGAAGTTCCGTGCGCTATCCAGTGACGTTGGAAATGGCTTTACAAGCGAAAATGCAAACCAAGATGCATATAGAATGTCTACACTGAGACTATAATATCTCGGAAGCAGTCATTTCAACAAATGCTATCAACTTGATATCTTCTTTGGTGATCCTAAGATTACATGATTATATGACTTCATTTATATACATGTACGTAGATATGTATATGATTGGGTATGTGAGTTCGCGTATGCAGGCAATAGCATGCCAGCAATAAGTTACGTTTCGACAACCGCTGAAAGCCATTACTTTAGAAGAAGCCATGTAGTTAAAACGCAAGTATAAGGTAAAGTGTTCCTAAAGAGGTAAAGCCATAAATCATAATTGTAATAATAACAAAAAATAAAATCACGTTCCTCATATGTCTTATTATAAGCCAAAGCTTTGTCGAAGGACCTCTCGTACGGCGGCCTCACAAAATAGAATCTGCGACCAGTCGATTTTCTTTCAATAAACATGTTAATTACCATTGAAATATGTTGTACTTAACGCATTTGGCTCACAGGCTATATAAACAAAATGGCTACGTTTAACTAATCCCTCGGCGACTTTCACAAATGGAACCGGGACGATTAACCATCGTCAAAAATGGCCGTTACTTCGTAAAGTGTTACTGTCTCTGAATAGCAAGACACACTGGATCGCAGTTACGTGCATACTGTGATAAGAAAACGTCTCGTCGTGGTGGTTTTAGGTACCACAAGTCATAGCGACAAAATTTAGCGCGCTACAACTGCGATGTTAAATCAAACGATATCAGCGTACATGTAGCATAGATAACTTCAATTAATTCCGTACAGGTTGACACACGTACCAAGTAACCTTACTTATGTTAGCTGTTTGACTATGGCTTATGGAGTACATAATCGCCATTGAAGCTTAGTTGATTACGTATCTAGGACTGCTGAAATTAGATCGAACTTCAGTGCCATTCGTTTCGATAGATCAAATCGACGGAAGTCCTGTAGACACCTTGTAATAATCAAAACCAACGTAACCTTAATACTACAGCTATCTATATATACTGTGCTATTACCTCTGCTACTATCGACGACTGGTGAATAGATTTCAAGGAAGAAGGGAAATTGAATTGTTTCTATAGTCGATGCCTCATTGTGGCTGTATTCTGTAGCTGCTGCACGACATGGATGTTACTGTTTTAGCAGAAGCAAGGGAACAATCCTCTTTTTTTTTAGCAAAATGTTTATTTTTCTTTCGCAATTTATTCTATAGTTTTAGCTGGACCGTTGCCCCTGCCTCCTTGCTCCACTTGTCCATAAGTTTAGCCAATCAAAATTAAATGATGCACCTTAATTAGGTCTGTACACGTGTTGCTACACTCGCATGGTTCCAATGTCTGTATCACAGCTGATCGCTTGAACGGCACAAACGTAAAAGTAACAGTAAAAATAGCGAGGACAACAACGGTAAGCATACTTTTGAATCGTTTGCTGGGACGCTAACAGTTCCTGAATTGCGAAGAGTGAAAACATTTATTATCATTTCATTTTGCTTTATGTCGGCAATATGACTTTGCTAGCGGAGTTAGTGTATTTAAAACATAACGGATATTGTTTTAAAAACGATCGGCTCGGGATTCGCTATCCCCTTACAGAAATGGTCCAGCCGTAACAAACCCACCATGACTATACGACTTTTGTGTTACCAAAGTTTCTTATTGTTTAATGCCAACGGCCATAACGCTATTTGTCAGTAGTTGAAAAGTTGTCATCTTAAATAGGTAGCAACCGTCGAAGGCAGAAAATGTAACTTAAAAGCGATAATGAAAATCCAGAGAAGCCTCAAATAGAAGGATGCGTTAACAAAACATAATGGCAACACAAAAAACCAACTGTAATTATCCCTGAGGTGTCCGAAAGACTATTTTTGAGTCTGGGATATGGTAAGTTAATTCTACAAAGCACTAGAGAATCCTTTTCAAAAGTGTTTTACCATATATGCATCTCCAATTAGAGCGAAAGACTCAACACGATTGAATGATAATTCGCTCTTCGGTCTGTACTCCTCGAGTCTCCTTGTTTCCCATTTAGATACTAATAGGTATTTTACTAATTATTTAAGTTCGTATTTACAAGCGATACTTCAAGCAGCTGATGCTATCAAGCAAATTCTGGCTATCGATTTTAAATGCAATAGGATGCAGGTGATCGAACCGCTCGTACAACTTTATTTTGTACCTAAGTCGATCGAGTCTCGCTTCATCGACTGCTGCTGCTTCCTCTGCTATTGTAGATATCTTTAGCAGAGCTAAACTATTGTCTGCACAATCTTCCACGCCGCGTGGCCAGCCTATTCATCCGGTCGCAAAAAATAGGCAAAAAATATTCTAAAAACTATTCGGTCTGGAAGAATAACTATAACTATGGAAAGACTAGCTAAGGCTAAATTTTTAGTTGTAAAACTGAGCTTCATGGACGATGGGTTGTATTGCTACGACCAAGACGACTTCGCGCAGTATTTGAACTATAAAAGAAATTGGATGGTACGCATTAGCAGGTAGGTAATTAAACATTTAAAAAACAAACAAAAATTATGGGTTACCAAACTATCGTCATCATTTTAGAGTGATCTTTTCCATTACTTGCCATTTGTAGTATAACAATATATTAATTGAAGGTAACCATTGTATAGTAGTCATTGATTTGCGCTAAACAATGTTTTTCTCATGTTCAATGTTTTTTGCTATTGTGGAAAAAGGGTTTGGGCACGTAAGCAAAATCTAGTGTAACATTCGAGTGTCGCTCGGTTCATGTTTTAGTGCGACTGACACATTTTGTCTAAGAGGTAAGTCTGTACATTTCGAAAGTTACACATCGATAATAAGGAAACCCCACGTACGCAAAAGGATCCACGTACGCAGATTACAGATTGGCCAAAGCAAGATTTTTACAGGAATGCTTGTCAAAATATTGAGAAATCGTAGTTCGGACAGAAACGGTCATAGATAGGCTTGTATCAATAATAGGCTCAAAACATAGTATATACATATGGTTGTAAATTATCAGACACAAACACCAACTAGTCTGTATATAGGGCTCATACGATAGAGCATCTCAAACTTTATATGGTTTCCTTTTATGTTCGTTCATAGACACTAATAATAGATACGCAAAAAAATTATTTTCAAAAATAATTAATCTGATATGCATTTGCTAATTTTCCCAAAATGAATTTCTTGTAACGCCTGGAGAGCAATAGCCCTTTGGCAAAGATCACAATCAACGTTGCCCTTATGACCTTCCAAAAAATTTATATGAAAGCTTTCTTCCTATCTGAAGAACTTTAATGGTCTATTTTTGCCGATAGTTATTTTTTAGAGGAAGTTGGAAAAACAAACAATGAAACATGCGTAGAGTACTTATTCCCCTTATCTTGTTAATAGTTTTTGAAAAATATAGCATCGATACTAACATTATGGCGCTGTCGTCATTTTATTATAGATGAGATTTCTTAAGCGTATCAGACCCAATAGTTATTACCGACCAATTTATAAGTAGCATTTTTACAAATAAATGCATACCTCTTGATTTTTCCAGCATAAAACATGTAAAACAAGATTTAGGGCATGCGGCTTTATTAGCAGAACATAATATACTACCCTCGACGGTTCTTTATTCCATTAAATAAGCGACCTGGTCAGCTTTGTTTATCTAGTACGATAAGGACCACCTTTAATGATTGTGGACGATGTTTGACGGTTTGAGTTAGCCCCAATAAAAAGAAGACTGAGAACACTGTCCATGTTTAAAATATAAGCAAAAGCTATACAAGCGTTCTGTCGAAGGCAATCGGATGAGTATGATCCATTAGCAGTTAACTAGATAACAACTTCGTGTTTTGTAATTGAGCTTCGGAGGCAATGAAAGTGGACTCCATGGTAGGAATTCGCCGAAAACGTTTAAGTTTAGAGATTTAACGGAGTGGATACCTCAGTGAGACAACTCGTCAAAAATTAATACAACACTGTTTAGTAAAATTAAGTTAGAAATCATCCGAAGCGAATACAGACTCACCCGACACGTGCTTTTGATCGGCAAATGAGTGGAATTTAAATCCTTTTGAAAATGTCGTTTTATGGATTCGATGAGAAGCGGTACTCTCAGATGCAATCGGTCTCCAGGGTGAGTGGTCCTGTATCTGAAGGGAGAGCGGTGCTTTAGTATCTTCAGCTGTTTTACCATCTGGCAGGGAAGCATGAACTGAGCTTGTCGCCCCATAGTTAACGAATGAGCGCCCTCTGGGCGAGAATTGATCCTGGTGACCAACAAAATTGAAGAGAGTTGTTATCAGTTAGATACTGGAATGAATAAAGGCAAGCATAGTGTATCTTCTGAATCTGAATCCGAGTTTGGTTTCAGAGAAAAAAAGAAAAAGCTTGATTTTGCTAATTAACACACCATTGACGAAAACATCTTTCTCTTTATCTAACTTTATAAATTATACCAACAATAAATATAGACCAGGGCGTTAATAATTTTTTGTTTTATTCGGGAGTGACTCCGCATATTGTGACTCCGTTTTGACTTGTACTTAATTAAGCTGCGTATTGGCTGTAAGACCAAAATAGGACGTCTTTCCTAGCTTATACATAATGAGCTTTTCAGTGATAACCGGTCATAAAGCTTTAGGAAGAGTTACTTTGAAGGGTTCCTTTTGAGGCATTGACACAAACCTATATCATATCATAAATTATGAGAAAATTCACAATGGACATGTAGCGGGTGCATATGCCTCATAACTAATTTACAGAATAATAATCACATAGATGGCCCTCTTTCAGTGCTAGTCAACGAACTCGTAACAAAAGCTGGCTATTTTCCGTCAATAGTCTATAGTAAAAAAAAGCAATAGTCTAAGTCAACTAATTGAATGCGCTAGAATTAGACGAAAAGAGTGTGACGCTGACCGGAAGTAGACGCGCATACGCAGATGTACCTATTTCGAAAAAAGAGTCAATAGGGTGTATCCAGCCATAGATAATAATAATAATAACAGAAGCATTTGAAAGGTAATGTTTGTCCGTAATAGCCATCGCCCACATCATAGGCATCCCTCACGAATCGTGTCTATGTATTTCTTGAAGAGCTAGTTCAAAACACTCATGCCATCTTAAATAATATAGATGGTGTTTGAGTCTCATTTTCAAGTATCTATGCATGTCCACGTAATGCTTGTACGGAACTTAAAGGACGGGAAATGAATAAACAAGTTAGAGCATTTCAATGCACGCTTATAAATAGAAATCTAGCGAAAAATTGTGTGAGCTGAAAAAACGCATAGATCCGTAAGCATTGATTGACAAAGCTTGCCCATCCGATAAGACGTATCGCTTGTGCCTCGGCCTTCTCGAAATATAATACTATTATGGAGCTTTATATCAGCTTCTTCTGACCAACACGAATTGTCGCCGTTGCGAAATTCATTGAAACCGAAAATACCAACAGCCGAAGGCACAATTTTTCATTCGATTTTTTTTTTTTACTGCTCACTGCTGTACCCAATGTCGATTCTGTACACGACCTTTCAAGCGCTCGGAATGATTTTTTACATATATGAGAAGTACAAAGTACTGATACTGCTTGTCACAAATGTTAACCTTCCATTATAAAAATAACACTGAAGTAGGTAAAATATTAAAGCTAAGTTATAAGTACATAGGATTCGTATATTTCATAACCACGCACTAAGAAGTCAAATTGACCAGCTGTGTATTAATTAGGTAGGCGAGAAACAGCAAGACACAAAGTTCTGTAGGTTTCCACATAACGTTCATATGCTCTCTAGTTGAGTGATTTTTTTTCCATTTGTTACTGATGGGAAACTTCCAACAAACAGCAATTGTAAACGAAATTACGTACAGCGCCCGCCCCTAAAGGACCACCCCTGAAATCGCAATTATCTCGTAAATGGATAAGCATTGTTGAAAAGTCTAACATCATCAAATTAACGTTCAAAATTTTAAATTATCAGTTTTTTTCATAGTTTCATACACATGTGGTTTTCAATTGCAAATGTCACAGTAATCGTTCACTATAAATCGACGACAGTAAAAATGGCCAAAAAAAAATAAATAAAAACCTGAATGATAGCGATAACGTACGATAGACAGGTGGATTGATTGACTGATAGATAGATGGTTCGCGTATCATATTTGACACTTCACGATAGGCAGTCAAAACGTTGGCAGTCGACTGTTTTCTCTTTGCATTGGTATATAAATGACGGCTTTAATAAGCCAGCAACATATAAACTGTTCAATGCTAAGGGACTATTTTAACTTCACGTTAGGTCGGTGTAATTCCGGGTTGGCGCCTAGAAGGTCACTGGACTAGAGCTTTATCCTTGCGTAATCAAAAAAACTATAAACGTTTTTAATTAATTTTGCCCACGACACAAATTATATACACACTATACGGCAGAGCTTAGATGAGCGGTTTAGGTCTTTAATATACAGGTAGCTTAAAACAATGTTAACATATTTATGGACGGAAAGCTCGTAACATATATCTAAACATGTGCACAGCTCTAACGACTCCGGAATCACAAAATCGTTTGGTATATATTGTTTAGATACTGATGATATAGCAATTTAGATCGGATTGCAATATAGAAAATCATAAATTTTGGTCGTACCCATTCGAAGAAAGCTTATCGTCGTAGTATTTTTCACTTTTTCCCCCTTTATGGATGCATTAAAGGATGCCCTAAATATCTCTAAACAGGCAAAGTTTTCTTTCATCTACCGTAAGAGTCGCAACTTCGATACACATTAATGGATTACTTGTATTCGACTCATATTATACAGAGCGAAGGTTACTCAGCTGGCCATATATAGTAATGTCATCACTCCGCTCACGTCAATTACAATCGTTATTAGATGCTTCACAAAGAATTGCGGACTGGATAAATCCATTTTCGCTCGTAAACGTTAGCTAAATGCTGATCCTGCCTTCTGCTGGTGGCCATTTATTAGAAAAATATCTGCCTACTAATCTTTGTAGCTCCGCCTAAAGTAAAAGCAATGAGATGGAATCAGACTTTTTAAGGGAAGAGCTTTTCTTTTTCGCCTTGCATGATATCTTGATAAGAAATTCCGCCCTAAATAACGCTGAATAATCTTTATATATATATATGAAGGCAACGTTTGACACCGATCTAGGCCACGGCACCATATACCTGGTCAACATCCACATACATAACATGCGTATATATATGTATGTAGTATTTAAAGGAGATGAGAATTCATTAAGATAAGCATCTGGCAAAGGTTAAATCTATATATAAGTGGATTTCCAAATGCGGCTGACGTTCAGCCACCTTCACATTGTCCTTAGCGATTTCGGGTGTAAATAAAGTGCGGAATCGGTTCATGCTGTAGGGCTTTGTACAGACTGAGTTGTGTAAGATCTCTCACCAGTCAGTGTGTGCAAAGCTGGCTTGTATTCTTAAAATGTTTGCTCATTTCAGAAGCTTTCTTCAGCAGTGATTTGAAGTGTTCTTTAGCAGGTCGGTCTATAGACACGACTAACCAGTCTGATTACATTCTTACAGCGTTTATGGGTCCAGGAGTAGACAGTAAAAACACTGCTATAAACTTCACAAGAATGTATCGTATGGGGTTGTACTATTACTCGTCAAATAAACGTCATTTATCCCCATGCCTTACTCTTCACGTAACTGACGTTGCAGCTTGCATGTGCTATATAAACCACTAACCCGTAACAGCGTTTTTTCTGCCAGAGAAGATTTGCTAGAAGACGTAAAACGCTAGTAAGAGCATCGTTAAAACGGGCGGTTACTAATGATTACTCCAGATAGTAGCACCTCTATAAGGAAGAAATTCCTTACAAAGATGCTCTAGCCCTGTGTTTGCAAATCGAAGTTGAAAATAACCTGATCATAGAAACACGTGGTTAAATAGCAAATCCTTGCGGTATAAAGAAATAGCCTGCTTCAAGTACAATATAACGAGAGTTTTCAACAGATACGCGTCTGTGAACAAATTGTCCGGTAAAGATTCCATAGGAAGTAGTACCGTATTTGAAAGCAATTAAATTTAAGGTCATATTCAAAAGCTTTACATATAGCCTGCCAGCATCCCTCCTAGCTGCCACTTATTATTGTGCATACAATTCAGATAGCCAACGAAGCCCGTGTAGAAATTAATCTCGCAGATGCTGACTTGTAAAGCTACTAATTTCTAAAGTTAAGTCGTACGCTTGATTATTTCGAAAATAGTTAATTGTAAGTAAAATAATTTTAAAAAATACACGCTTTTTTTGGACCATTGGATTTTGAATGTCCGATGAAAGACCACAAAAATTAGACGTATAAATTGCTCAATTTAGAATTGAGCTCGTATGGAAGTGCCAGTATTGTCTTACCTCGAAATGCCCCTAAGACAAGGGTTTTTGTGGATTTGGATACTGATAAATAATCTTCGTGTGGATACTTTGTATCCAAATCAAAACACTAGGCACAAAACACAACACACGAGACAGGCAACAAAAAAACTAGATTTTAAAACTTTAAAAACAATTACCTCGAGAAATTATTTCCGCCCCGATACGAGCGAGTGCGTCGCCCATTCATAAAAAATAATTCGTAGAGCGTACATTTAGGTTGCCAGCTCCCGTTATTGTTGTTCTTACTAATTAATGCATAGCCCTACATTTCTTAGCCCTTCTTTCTAAAGGGGTCTGGTGTTGATAGCTATGTTGCTTTTTTTGATAATCAATCAACGGGTTTTCCAGCCTACGCTCGAGTAACGCGTTTAGACTCTCCTAATATATTTATCGTATTTATTAAAAAAAAAAAAAATATATATATATATATATATAAAGAATTATCAACTAATTAAAAATTGCTAGTTATTTAATTTGGTTGTGGGCTATTTAATTCAAGTTACTTTACTTAAATGCATTTCTGTCGTCATTACCATTACTGTAATTATCACTTAGCTAAAACCGAAAAACACTTGTAAATAATATAGAATCTCGAATAAATAAACGTTGACGACTTGTTATTGAAACGTACAAAGTGGTGTCCTCACGCTCGTTTAGGTGAGATAATCGTTCCAGGTATTGTTTACAATAATCACCTAAGTTAAAGGCAGACCACGAGGAGTAAATATAGCCGTTTGAATTTCTTTGTTGTTGTTTTTTTCCAGTTCTATCGGTGTACACCTGTTATGTACATTCATCTGACGTATCTATTAGTATTAAGTACATAATTAGCATTCTAGTGCAGTAATA